CCCGTAGCTTTTGCCGGTCTCGAGATGAAAAATCGGTACAGACGAACACACAGACACACATACACAGACAACCTCTCGTCAATATGCGTTTTCTGCATTGCATAGCTGCAAAAAACGCATAAAAAAAGGCTGGAGGGAGGTACGGGAGGAAGTCCTAGAGAGTGGGCTGAGGGTAGAAAAAGTAAAGGGTATGTTAAATTTGAGTATGTACAAAAGGCAACGGTAAAAAAATATGTGCACTTTGTTTAGCTGCCATTGCAGAGGGCTGGGGTGTGATGAGTTAGGATATTGAAAATAGAAGCACTAACTGTGTATGGATGCGTGTTGTTGCAGGTAATGATGGGTTCAGCAGCAGTGGGCGCCGTAATTGTTGGAATGATTGAGGTGGCATCGTTAGCGATGGGCAAATTCGCGGGTATGGTTATGGATCCGAATAGTGCGCCACAGGAACTCGAGGACCCTGCAGTGCTGAGCGCGAAGCAGCCGCAGCAGAAGCATGCCGGCAGCAGTGGTGCTAGTTCCGGTGTTTCTGCGGATACCTCGTCTCCCAGTGCTCCTTTCTCATTAGCTCAACCATATTAATATCAGTAATTGATGATCTTGCTTCCTCTGTGCCGCCTGATTTGCTGCTAGAAATTCGCCAAAATATGGCGACTTTTTGCAACCCTTGCCACAGAAAGCAAATTTTATCATCGTTTGATAAGAGATATTAAAAATGTTAATTTGTTATTGCTCTGCGATGTTCCAGATAAAACTAATTTTGTTTTCTTTCTTTCATCACTTCCTCCCTCCTCTCTCCCCGTCCATCTCTCCTCTTTTTTTCCAAGTTTATGCTCTTAAAATTTGGAAAAGCTCTATTTTTTGCGAGTTTGGGTCCAATTAATTTTTCAGTAGAAGGCATAATTCTTTTGCCGAGGCAATATTTTATTCCTGTCTCGAGGGGAGTTGCGTTTGCTAAACCCATTTCCTCCATCCTTTCTGTGTTTTTACATGTGTGCTTTGCGGATTTCGAGAAGCCTTGTCTTTTTCAGGAAAAAAGAATTTCAAAATTCAGGAAGACAGAATTTCTAATGTAAGGGATGGTTGTCTTAGAGGAGAGTTTTGTGTACAAGTGTTTGTTTGGTACAGCAGTAGTTGTGTTTGATAAAAATAACTTATTCACATCCAGTGTTTCTTTTGCCTTGCTATCAGAATTACGGTTGAAAATCCTCAAAATTTTTTCGCTGCATTTATTTTCAGAATTGGAAAAGTTGCCAGCTTCATAGATGAGCAATTATACTACGTACAGATTTCACACGTAGCTGAATTGTTGTTAGCATTGGTAGCCGAAGCTCAGATATGCGTTTTAGTATCAAGTACATCCTAGTGTATTTGGAACAGTTTTTAGTATAATTGCTTACCTATGAAACTGGCAGTTTCATAGTTGCTTTGACGAATGTCGCATGGTTTGGTGATCCCGAAATTAGTTTCGCTTCCTGAAAGGGTGAGCGGCTTTTTTGGCAGAAACGCAGTTGGGAGATTTGGGCCTTCTCGAGATCACCTTCGTGTGAACTGGGCGGTGAGAAAGCTGTTATTTGTCCGACTAGAATCCCCAGCAAATACACGCATATTTCTTTACGCAGTGTAATTGTTTCTCCAATTTATCCGTTTGTTTTGTCCTTGATAAAGTTAGTCCAGTGATAAATGAAGCGTGTTTAGGAATGGAATTCATCTTAAATTTACCATAGGTTCTTATCGGGCGGCGCGCCAGAATGGCTGTCAGTGAGACGCCAGATGTTGTGTTCCGCATATTTCAGGTATTTCATTTTGCAGCTTACCTGTTTTTTCACTTTCCTCTCTCTTCCTAAGGGAGAAAAAAGGCACAGTCCTCATCTAAAATTTAGGGGACGCATCGGAAGCCTTCCGTGAAATTGTCTTGTTCTCTGTGACCAAATTTGCATGTGTTTTTCAAAAGCGAATTTGTTCCCGTTTACTGAAATCACAGTTCACTATTTAATGAGGCTGGAAGCTTCAGATTAAAAATTCGAGACTTGCTGTATGGCCTCGCAAAGCCTACAGTGTTCCAGTTTTTTAGCTATTCTGATCGCCAAGTTAAAATTTTTATATTATTTCGCATTTGTATAAATGCTGGAAACATAATGAAGAGAAAAAGCGCTGTATTAGATCAGTTCACTTTATTTTTCCAAAAAATAGAACCGCTGAAGTTGAGCTTGTTAAATCAGTGACCAAACTTTTTTATAATCGTACGTCTGCATTAGAGTCCAAAGCCACCTTTTGCTTAATCATGTGAAAGTGATATGTTTCAAGCTTGTTTGTACGAGAACTGCTAGAGTTTCATCTTTTAGGTTCAGTGGATCCATCATGTAGGAGGAGCTGGCAGAATTGCGCAATAGATGATTTTTTTTTGAAAAAAATGGTATCAGCATATTCGTTAGATATATTTTCGGAGCATCTGTTGCGATGGCTTTCAATATTTGCAACTGGAACCACAGTGTGCCTCTTCTTGACGGGTTTCGAGATTTGCTGGCGGATAAAGGTGTTTGATTTTGCTCTTATTGGATTGCGATTTGCTCTGGTTTTAGAAGTTGGGAGCGAAGCTCTGGTCTGAATTTATGAGAAATCATCTTAAGTTTTTTCATGAAATCTTAGCTTGTGCTGTTCTTCAGTGCTAGTGACAATTGCTTTGATGTGTGTTTGCTGAATTTGTTAATAATGCTTGTTTTATTGCACTGATATATTCAGATTCAAGGAACAACGGATGGCATCAGTTCGGCACCGTTTCATATGGGTTTTGTTTCAGGGCAGCTTTGGCTGCAGTATGGTCTGCTAAGGCAGGATAAGGTACGCTTTTGTCAGCAACAAATTCTGTATATTATAGAGCAGAAGTGAACCGATGAGGCATAAAATAGTCTGCTGGAAGAGCTAGTGCACTTGGAAGCGTGATTTCAGTTGGAATGAGAGATTCTTTAGAGATTCTTTAGAATAGAATAGTTATTTTCCACTGTCTAAGGGTTATGTTGTGTGCCCGCGTCTGCAGAGAAAGCAGCTAATGAATCAGACAAAATGCTTATATTCATTTAGCATACTTTCCCCTGTTTAGTGGTCTTTTACTGTAGCACACTTAAGCTTCTGCTTGATTGCTGTGTAACAAAAACGCATGATTTGGCGATTGACGTACCAGTTATGTTCTGGCTCTGTTTCCTCCGCTGATTTATTCCGCAGTTCTGAACAGAAACGGCAAATGTGTCAGATTTCTTTCGTTGTTTGTCTGGTCGTTTAACGAACTTGTTTTTGTTCTTCCTTCTGTCGGTTTCACAAGTTTTAG